TCTTACTATAATTAAACACAAAGCTAAACCCTCTCATATTAGCTCTAACAGCACTATGCTAAACTCTCATATATATAATGTATATAATTTTGGAACATTCAACCACAACATCATATACCTTGCTTTCAACAAAGAATTAACAACTCAGAGATTCTTGGCATTTCTACTAAAATTAGATTACAGCAACTTTAAAACAACCTTTGGTCTGCTACTAATATTTTTTAGCATAACCAACCACCTATAGATGGACCCAACAAACTTATACTTAATTTTAAAATTATACAACTCTTACAACATCTTGGCATTTTAATTCTAGCAAACTCTAATATTTTGTGGCCTAATACTGTTTATGATGGCTACTAATTATTAGAACTAATACTTAATCAACATTTCAAATACTATACTTTTAGAAAACAACTTTACAAAAACAACATATTCTATCTAAAATAATTATGTACTGCAGACAACAGCACACTACTTCATTGGTATTACCTTTTATCAAGACTTTATTATCTAATAAAAGGAAGGCAACCTTCTTGGTTTATCTATCTATAAGACACAATTCTATTTGATAAAACACATTGCTTAATCCTTTCTCACTTTCAACTTCTCAAAATTAATGCCTTTGCATATAACATTTTATCAATCAAGAAAAAACTCAAACCTTGGCTACTTATCTACAATAATAATAATAATAAGATTATTATTGGCAAAATTCACAAATATCTTCCAAATACAAATCAGTTTTTTATATTATATTAAAATACTAATATTAATTTAGAACACAATTACTACTATCCTCTTCTGGAATTAAACTGCACACTATTTACTAGATGTCATGTTAACTTAAACAGAATTAACCAAATATATATAGTTAATATTTTAGTAATTATTTGTATTAGCTTTCTAGGAAGAAAAACCTCTAAACTCAAATTTAATGCTAATTACCTGGATTTTATTTATTCAATAGCAATTAAATATCCTTTATGAATTTCTCATAACCATCCTATTATTAATATATCAAATTCAACTGTTACAGAAATCTTTAAATCCAATGATCATTTAAACAAACTTAAAGAAATTTTTCAAAACAATTTATCTTATAAGAAATTCATTTTTTATATAAATGAATCAGTAACTGATATTAGAACTGAACAAAGCTTAATGAGCATTGGATGGGTCAAGTTAATAATAATAACCAAATGCTTTATAAATTTTCAGCTAAAATCTACCACTAGCTATCAGTTTATAAGGTAGAGCTCTTTTCTATCTTATCAGCAACACTTCAAATATATACTAACTTACAATTAGTTATTTCAAAGTTTTACAAACTCTCTATACAACTTAACAATTTTAACAAATTTTTTAAATTTAATACATGGTCTTTATGGCACACTTTTCTTAATATCATTAAATCCTTTAATTTAAACATCAATTTTTACAAAGTTTAGGTTCATACAGACAATACTTTTAATAATATAGCTAATTTTTTAGCAAAACAATATAATTTTTCTTTGCCTCTAATCTTTCAATATACAAATATTTACAATCCTTTTCATATTTTATAATAGGAGCAAACTTTTGTCAAGCTTTCTACCAAATATTTTATTAAAAATATCTACAAAACTTACATATTAGTAATATAATCATTACAAAAAAGAAACAATGAATAAGCTTATATTAATCATTACATAAATTGGAAATTTACATAGTTATATCTTAATCATAACCAAAAACTTTTATCAAATTTTACTAGCTTAAAGCTTAATTAATCAAAAGCCTTTAAAATTAAAGCTCTACTCAATAAACTACCAATATATTTTTCTCTCTACAACATTTATCTAGCTATTTTTATAAATTCTAATTGTTTTTAATATAACTTTCCTGACTTTTACTCATATTAGCTAATATGCTCTAACTCTTCTCTTATTATAAATATTATTAATTTACTAATTTAGCACATTCTATCTAAAACAAATCTTAATTTATCTACTAGTCAATTACATAAACTTATTTATAAAATTTAAAACTATCTCTCATTTGACTGAATATTATTTCAAGCAAACTCTTTCTATCTTGACTTTATTCTTAAAGGCCTTATACTTAAAGCCCTAATCAAAACAATTCATAATTACAGCATATTTACTAAAATAGTCTCACAAACTATCATTTAAACACTTCTTAATATTAATAATCAAATCTATAACCAAATATGAAAACCTTATTGTATTAACTTCTCCAACTGGAAAAAAAATAATAATATTACATCTCTTCAAACTTTTAACAATTACAATACCTCATAATGAATACAACAAATTAGATATCACAAAAGATTACATACAAACTATATATATTCATGTCTATATAGAATAGCAGATCAATTATACTTACATCCTAATATCTGTCTACTAATTAGACAGATTATTAGGAAAATCAATATATAGTCAGCACTTTGAATTAATTATAACACATCTTACAATTATATTCTAATATTACAAATCTAGATGAACCTTGATCACCAGTCAGTTTAGGTTACAAATAAAGTTGTCTAAGCTTTAATTCTTGTATATAGTTTTTATTTTGTATTTTACAATCTTTAATATATAGTATATTAATATATTCAACTAAAATTATTAATAAATATATGAGCAAAGCCTTATCTTAATATCAAAAAAGTAATTTATATCCAAAAAAGCCTTTGAAGGCTTTTTTAACAAATCAATAAAGATATGAGCAAAACTCCATTTTAAAAAAAAAAACTTCAACTTTTTTTTATTTTAAGACTTATTATTATAACTTTTTAATTTTTCTAACTTATCTAATTTTTTCTAGAATATTTTTAATAATTACTTACTTTAATTATAAGTATATTATCTTTTATATTAAATTTATTATTTTTTCAATTTAATAACAATAATTTTACTATTATATTAAAATTTATTTTAAACAACTCTCTAATAAACATTAATTATTATCTTAATATTTTTTTTTATCTTTAACAATTTTGCCAAAATCTTTAGTATCTGTATATATTTTCTAAACAATGTTCTTAATATTAAAAATCACTAAACATTGACCTTCTCTAATTTATATTTTTAAACTTTTTAGAAGTAATTTATTATACTAATTTTTGTTAAGATTAAAATGTTTCACTAGGTTTTGTTCAGAATCAGCTGTATATTATAAGTTTATATAATATCTATAAGTGTTAAACTTTCAGACTTATATTATATCTTATAATTTTATTTATTTCAAATTAGACTCTAACTTATGTTCTTTATCGTATAACTTTTCAACTGCAGATTACTTGTTGTTTTTAAAAATAAGCTTATTTATTAACATTCTAAATCTCTAATTTTATAATATTGCAGTTCTCTATTTTAGAAATATATATTTAAAATTGCTGTTACTAAAATTTGAACTGACAACCTTGTAATTTGTGACCTCAAAGCATAACCACAATGTTATCAACTCTAAAGGTCTCTTAATAATATTATTTATAATAGACAAAAACTTAATAAACTATTAAAATTACAAATTTAAATAATTATACCAAATAACCTAACAAAAAATTCAAAACACCAATATATACTAAGAAATTTCAATTAAGATAATAACTGATAATCTAATTAACCTTGGACCTATAAAAAAGAAATTAAATCAACTTCCTAATATCTATCATAAAATTATAAAAAAAATACATAAACATAATTGAAAACTAAGCAAAAAACATCTTTAATATTATACTTCTTTTTTACTGATCTTTTTTAACATTAATATTAATTTTACACTAAAAACTCTTATAGATAAACAATACACAATATGACTTAATAAATTTATATAATTTAACTATACTTTTCCTCTTACCAAACTCATAGACTAAAGTCTCTTAACTATTCTAACTAAAAATAAATTAAAAATAAATTAACTCTAACCCTTATTCTCTTAGTTTAATGTATTAATTTGTACTATCATACTTAATTATATATTACTAAAATAAAAAACTAAAGGAAAGACCTCTCTTAAAAAACAAAATAAAATAAAAAATAAAATAAAATTGGATCAAATGTACTTAATATTACTCTTATACTGTACATATTTGATGCTCATGCCTAACAAAAAATTTTAAGCCACAAGCACGGGCATAAACACAAGCATTTTTTTGTTTAGCATAAATATATCAGGCATTTTTGTACCTATAGAAACTTTGTACCTGATTTCGTTTTTGACTTAAAAGTACTAGACATGTAGCCAGACCTAAAGTGCCTAAAGTGCCAGGCACTATTATACAAATGCCAAGCACTTTCTTAGGCATGGCATTAAAGTGCCTCTGGCACTTTTTTAGACTGGCACTTTTGTGCCTAATATGCCTGGCATGGGCACATGCAGAACTTTAGTTCTAATAAGTTTTAAAAATACTGTCAACTACCAATATAACGGACAAATTGCAAAGAACCAAATTTTTTTTCAGCCCAGCTTTCCGTTATATAGATAGTTGACTTTTTTAAAAAATTTTTATTAATAGCAAAATCGCATAAAATACTATAATATCCGACTCTCCCTTATATAGATACAGAATATAATTAGCAACACATCTTTTAACGAGCCAACATAATACGTAAAAGTTTTTTTTACGTATTAAATCTGAATAAACCGATACTAGATTAAATTATATAAAAGTAAATGAGCGAATTGCCAAAACGGTCACCGTTACAAATAAGTTTCGTGGGTAATTAATATGTAATGTAACCTAGTTTGCAGTATCAGATATCTGACATTAAAATAAAAAAGAGCACATGCACATCAGTCAGGTCAGGTTACAATCGAGAAATCTGAAATGCAGTGTTGTGTATTCAAATTTCAAATTCGATACTGTTTTTGTAACAAACGCCCATTTTAATTAATAATTCATTTTTTTGGAAATGTGTAATGTAAAATTTAAATATCAGGTATTGATACGTATAAACAAAAATTGTTACCATTACCTCTCTTCTTTCAAAATGCAATCCATTACACAAAAAAAGCGGATATCAGAAACGTACAATACTAGATCAGTCGCTATAATCATTGCCGTCTTTTCACTTATACTTATAGCAATATCTTTAAGTATGATTCCATACGTTCCTGGGGATATTAAATCAGATTTTTATATAGCAGAATTAGAAAAACAAATTGAACATTTAAATACAAATCAAGTTTTGATTACCAATTTATCTTCAACGATTTCCTCAAAGAATTTAATTTTTATTGGTGACGTTCATGGATCATTGAATGAACTTAAGAAACTTTTAAAAAAAATTAAATACAATTCAACGAACGATCATTTGGTATTTGTTGGAGATCTAGTAGCTAAAGGCCCAGAATCAATAGAAGTTGTTAGATTGGTTAAAGAATTAGGAAGTAGCTGCGTCCGCGGAAATCACGATGACAAATTAATACGATGGAAAGGATTTTTAGACATATTGAACAAAAAAAGGATTAAGTTGAAAGATTATGCTAAAAAGAATGCGCTACCACCACACCTAAGTATGGAGAACGAGCATGTGAATTTAGCAAGGTTAATTTTTCTATATGAATTAATTTTATGAGTATATTTATATATTAATCAGTATATATATTAATATATATATATATTAAATATTATAGAAATATCGACCAAGAACTTTATAAATTCCTTTCTTCGTGCCCTGTCGTGATTAACATTCCAGAACAAGATTTATACGTAGTTCATGCGGGTCTTTTACCAGATGTACCTTTTGACCAACAGGATCCATATGACATGATGAATATGGTATGAATGATTACCCAGTAAATAACTTTGCATATTCGTTAATTACTTATTTAACCATAAATTAATCTAATTAATATAGAGAAACATAAAAGAGAACGGAAGACCAACTAAATCCATAAATAAAGGACATTCGTGGTCTCATTCTTGGAACATTGCGCAGCAGTCTTCTTTGACGCCAAAAACAGTTATATATGGTCATGACGCATCACGTGGATTAAACATTAAAGAATTCACATTTGGATTAGATTCGAGATGTGTTTATGGTGGGGAATTAACCGCATTGAAATGGAATGAAGGAAAAAGTATTCACAGTGTTTCTTGTGCAATATACTGATTAAATAGATATTTTAGATACTATACTTTATTTATTATGTATTATTATGTTCACAATAAAAAAAAAAGTATTTAATATAAATTATTATATATATACGTATTACTTTGCGGTATTCACATGTCCACATGATTGACATTTTCTTAATTCCTCGTTTGCCGCGTAATTTTGGATAATAGGTTTCAATTGAGTTCCTAAGTCATAACAGTGAAATGACTCTTCATACACTATAGCTTTACAATTTTCACAATACCATCGAAGACGATCTGTAATTTAAAGAATTAATAGATTATAAATCAAATGTTAATCAAACGTAAGTAATAATACCTATTTCTTCGGGTCTACGATTTCTTTCGATTACGATGCCAATTGTGTTAGCAGATCGCACTGGGTTGTGTGGAGTGTTACCTGACGGAATATAATAATTAAATGAAATCATTATTAAAGACCGGTACTAAGCGGAGGACGATCTATGGAGAATAGAAGATGTGTCCATCTAATGTTCCAATGTTTTTGTTTTTAGCCAAATAACTTAATAAAGAAATTAAAATAATTCCACGGCCACTAACGGAGTCCGTTTACATGATGTAATTACGGGATAAATTGATCCTACCAGGTAGCAAAAACATTTCACCTTCCTTAATAGGAATATCCTTAAATTCACCATCATCTACAATCTTAAGAACCATATCTCCTTTATATTGGTAAAACCATTCCTGTGGTTTGAATTTTGATACAAAACTTAAATCATTATGTTTTATATTATCTAAAATATTTTGAATTAAATTAATTACAAACCTCTGTTTGATTAACATGATAATCTGTCCGAGCATTAGGACCTCCAATTGCCATTACAATAAAGTCACCCCGTTGTATAAGAAAATTATTGACTGGTGGTTGTAACTTGTCTTTATTCTCTTCTATCCATGCGGGAAAATTTATTGGCGGTAAAACCGGCATTTTTAAAAAATATTCGTAAATCCAAAATCAAAATTTGATATCGATCGATATATATATACTATTGCACTCAGGTGGAAATTCATTTGATTGGATAATTTATTAGGGTGCAAACATTGTGCAGGTCATATTTCTTTATAGGCACACTATAGTAATTTGCATGATACAGACTGTGTAATAAGAATAACTTAAAGAATGCATTCGAATGCATTCTTAAGTAAAAATAATGAAAAAGGCTCTATTACTTTAAAACATGATAAGAGGATTTCGAGAAAATATAATTTTATTTGTACATTATTTACTTTACCGCGTGGCTTGCATTATCCTGTATCGGTATGAAAGCACAATTTTTACATTAAGTTTTCATTCATGTAATTTTTATCATGTGATATAGTGTACCAGCATTATCATTAATATTTATGCGAGTAACATGTTTTCATGTAAGAAACATGATCATATGCTCATATGATTGGTTAGATCATATGTACATCGATCTGGTCAGTGAACTTTATGCAGAATCTACTGTAGTTCAATAATGCTACCCGAGTTTTCATAGTGTCGGTACTATATATCACGTGAAATTTATGTATTGTAAATTTGTAAAATGTAATTTCCAACCCTAGTCGGAATTCTCAAGTTGATTACGAAATTTAAAAGTGACTTACATGAGGTTGGTCTCAACGTGAGGTTAATTAGTATTTTTAATGATTTTTAATGAATACTAATCACGGTTACGTACGAGTTCAACGACGATTAATATTACGTTAGAGTTTCCAAATTTAATATAGACAGAAGCTCGTCTGATTGGCTAATAAATTCAATTTAATTTTAGATTATTTATACAGTTTAGAGTACTTTTTAAACTAATCCTAATGAAATAAAAAAAAACTGTATAGAAGGTTTCATTAGAGTTGTAGGACTAAAGTCAAAAATAAGATCTAATTCTCGCCCGTTTAAAAAAATTAGTTTAGTAATAAGTTGATTTTATCGGGTTTTGAGAAGTTATTACTATACTAACTTTTTAAACAGATAATTAGATCTATGGAGTCCTACAGCTCTAATGAAACCCTTTTTTTATTTCATTAGGATTAATTTAAAAAGACTCTGAACTGTATAAATAATCTAAAATTAAATTGAATTTATTAGCCAATCAGCCAAACTTCTGCCTATGACAGTAGAGATGTGAACTGTGAATTACAAGAAATTGTAGTTTATTTATTATAACTAATATTTTATAGTTCGCACCTCTAGATTTCGGCAGTGATAAACTTTTGATTTGAGTGTAATTAGTAATGTAATTGAACGATACTACAATGGCAACGCATCCAAAATTAAGTTTTCATTGAGCGTATGTCTAATATGCTTGATGTGTTGTTCTTACCAACCAATAGATCTTGACAAAAGATATAAAAAAAGTTTCGAATACAAGACAATCTTTCATAATAAATACATTACACAAGCAGGCACTAATGAAAAAATGTTCAATATGGACAAGAATTGATTACTGGTTTAAAAAAATATAACGCAAGTTATTATTCTAAACTACCAAGATTTTATTAATCTTTGTCGAACTGTGTTAAGAATTATAATCAACGAAATCAAAGTTAATATATAATGATTATTACAAATATAAGTCATATACTGATTGCGACCGATGCAAATCTAATTGAAAGCTCGATGACAGGTTTTCCCTTGATGACATTCAAATTTGATCAACACTATGTTATAGTTCGTGCGCAGTTTAGGGATATAAAGGACTGCTTAAAAGAAAAATTGATAAGGAATTCTTTGTATTAGAACTCCAAAGGCGGGATACTAATAAAAGAGTTAAGATTAACTGGATTTTTGCAATCTGAACATTTTTTTGAATTTTTTTACGTCACAACAAATCATGATTTCTAAATGGACAACAATTGATCTCGGGGAATTAGGTAAACGGAAAATTTATGCTTAAAAATATATTTTAAAGATATTAAAGTGGTAAAGGTGTAAATTGTGCTAACTGTGAAGTAAGCTATTAGTTAAGAAATGAATATGTTTATGATTCATGATTGATAAATTTTTTTTTAAAATTTGAACAACCTAAAGTTTGTGAAATTTCTTGGCAAATTTAAACAACCCGAGGTCTGCGAAATTTTTTAGCATTTTTTACTTATTAGATTGGATTCAATAATGATAATAAATTGAATATATCTGTATTTTATATAAAAAAAATAACAAACACACAATTTGAAATTGATAAGTTGAAAACTCAAGACTTTGTTTTTTCATTAAATGAAAAAATTTTCAAACTTGTAGCTAAGAATAATAAACATAAATAAAAGAAACTTAAAATTTTTGAGTGAAAGATTTGCTTATGACTAGAATAATAAAATTAAAACAGATCATAAAAAATATTGAGAACAAAAAGTAAAATCAAATAAAGAATCCTGAACTTAAGAGCAGAGTAATAAAATTAGAACATGATATCAAAGAGATTAAACAAAGATAAATTATATCTAATATTATTTTTTTTTTGGTATTAAGGTGAGGCCTTGCTTATAGTTTTATTAATAATTTAAAATAGTTACATGTATATATGTTATGATTAAAGTCAACACTTGCAATTAGAGCTAACTATTAAACTGCTTTACTATTTGTACAAAACAAATAAATTAAAAATTACATGCAAAAATAAAAGCTCAGACTAATTTATCTACAATCTAAACCTACTAGAGTGGTCAAAGTTCACCTAGATTTGAATATTTAGTATATAATTTGATAATATGCTATATTTGATCTATAAAATAGATCAAATATTAATTTTGTGAATTACTTAGTTAATAGGAAGGCATGTATTAGAGTAAATATGTAATTAATCTAAAAGTCTACAAAAGTATAAGTAAGTATAGTTTCTATAAAAACATGTATGCCTGGTTGCTAAGTTGGATAATGTTAAGGGTTTGTTAATTAGTTAGAATTGAAATCTATTTTGTTATTTTTCTAATTAAAAAAGTGAATGCAATATGTTTTCTATAATTATTCATATTATTGTTTATTAATATTAAAAAAAATATTAATAATAACTTAGAAAGCAGTTTTATATAATATATTAAAGTTTTGAACTATTGATATAAGTGACTTTGGAATAAGTTTTTTGAAAGTAAGATTAGAATAAAATATGTTAAATAAGATATATAGAGGATTAAGAGTTAGATAATGAAGAATTTTATAAATTAAATTATTTTTTTGATAAGTATCAAGATCAAATAATTTACTAAAGACAATTTGATTAGCAGAGATTTAAATAATTTGGTTAAGCAAGAATGCATTAGTATAAGTATGCCAATAGGAATAAGGATTATAATAAAAACAGTTAGTATCTGGATATTGGTTTAGATAAATAATATAAAATAATTGGTATATTGATAACTTATTAAAAAAGATTTTGATTTTAAAAAATTTTAATTGGTTGAGTTTAAAATTAGTAATATTATATAAAGGTTTTTGATTGTGATTAAAATAAAACTAAGTGGATCTTTAGTCAATATCCTAATTAAAGTATAACTACTCATTATTATGTTTTTGTGATATCTATATAGTTAATATATAGGCTTTACATATTTGTTTAATAAAGTATCTTGTAAGAAGTTCTATATAATATTATTCTCATTAAAGAATATGATAAGAATTATTAAGATTTGTATAATTAAATAAAAGAAGTGATGATAATAGATGTTATTTAGTAAGAAAATCTGCTTACTCATTAAAATTATTATCTGAGTAAGTCTGCATTTTGTAAAGGATAATTTGTAGTTTATGTGATTTAATAATATTAGAAAGAGTATTCCAAATAGGCCATAAGTTGAATTTGAATAGTTTGTTAGAACGATTTAAGTAAAGTTGAAGGTTATTAAATTTGAAAATTACTGATTAAGAATTAGTAAAAATATTGAATACTAAATTGTATAAAGCTATTGAAATTATAATAATAATTGAGAAAAGTTTAGTTTTGTATAATGAGAACCAGAATTGTATTTTAGCAAAAAAAGAATTAATAGTTTAAT